CCGCGGACACAGTGACCCGCTGGGCCGGTCCCGCGCCCCCGGCCGGTGAGGACGCCCAGGGCCGGCTGAGGACCGCGCTGCGCGGCTGCACTGCCGTCGCCGGCGGAGGGAGGACGTGGAAGAGTCAAGGGCCCTCTCCGAGGCACCCTCCCGCGCCCTATCTCTTCTCCCAAGCACATCGCAGAAGGGAGCCCCCCATTGAATAGATGGGGAAACCGAGGCACGGGGATGGGGAGACATAGAGCGGGGGAAGCGGAAGGGAATAGGGGATAGAGAGCAAAGAGCTTTCCCAAGCCGAGCGCTCATGGCTACGCCTACAATCCTAACTACTCTGGAAGCTGGGGTCTGAGGACTGCAGTTTGAAGCCAGGCCTAGCAAGAATTAGGAAGTGGAGCTGTGGCTCAAGTGGTAGAGCTAGTTGTGTGTGTGTGTGTGTGTTTATGTGTGTGTGAGTGTGTGTGTCAAGTGGTAGAGCTAGTTGTGTGTGTGTGTGTGTGTTTGCTTCCAATCCTGGGGCTTGAACTCAGGGCCTGGGCACTGTCCCTAGCTTCTTATGTTCAAGGCTAGCGCTCTACCACTTGAGCCACAGTGCCACTTCTTTTTCTGTTTATGTGGTACTGAGGACTCATGCATGGTAGGCAAGCACTCTACCACTAAGCCACATTCCCAGACCTGGTGCATTTCTTCATTCTTTTTCTTTTTCTTTTATTCTTTATTTATTTCTTCATTCTTGTTAGACAGTTTTATCAACTGGGCCCAGAGATTTCAAGGTTGGCCTGCTCTCTAATTCTGGATCATAGATGTCTGAATATCCCTTCAAACAAAGGACGAATTCTGCCACACACTCCTTTCAAGACAAGTGTCCATTTTTCTCTCCTAAGACACATATTTTCAAATACATTTTGGGCCAAGATGTATCATTTCCCCAAGTATCCTTTCTTCATCTCTCCACATCCTCCTCCTGGGATAAGTTTAAGAAAACTTTGCTCCATTTTTAATTATTTTGGACAAGCAAGAAAGGTCAGAGGGAGAGAGCTGCTCTTTTTCTTCTTTTACTATCTATAAGATGTTGCAGCTTATGAAAGTATATAAGGTTTAAATCAAATACTGCTTATGTGCTTTTAATAAAGCTATTAATACAGTGTCCATCTCTGAATTCCTGGATACTGTTGCCCATGCCTCATTTTCCTTGATCAGTCCTGTCTCAGATCTCCAAGGCTTACAGATTGTTCTTGCTGCCTGTGCAAACTCAGGCCCTCACTACACAAGCTATCAGGCACACTCACAGTCCTTGGTTGCCTGTCAAATGTGCCTTTTTCTTTTCTTTTGCTGGTCCTGGGACTTCAACTTAGGGCCTGGACACTGTCTCTGAGTCTCTTTGTGTTCAAGGCTAACGTTCTGCCACTTGAGCCACAGCCCCACTTTTGGCTTTTCCTGAGTAGTTTATTGGAGACAAGAGTCTCATGGACTTTTCTGTATGAGATGGCTTTGAACTGTGATCCTTAGATCTCAGGCTCCTGAGTAGCTAGGATTACAGGTGTGAGCCACCAGCACCCAGCTTGACTAGTTTTGTTTTGTTTTTAAATTATTTATTTTTTTGGGTCCGGTTGTGGGGCCTAAACTCTGGGCCCGGGCACTGTCCCTCAGCTCTTCAGCTCAAGGCTAGCGCTCTACCACTTGAGCCATAGCGCCACTTCCGGCTTTTTTCTTTTTGCTTATGTGGTGCTGAGGAATCGAACCCAGGGCCTCAGGCATGCAAGGCAAGCGGTCTACTACTGAGCCACCTTCCCAGCCCCAACTTGTTTTTTTAATGCTCAAAAATCATTCATATATTTTACAACTGTCAATTTATTGGGTTTTACAGTACTAGCTCTTGCATTCAGGGACTGGGAGCTGTCCCTGAGATTTTTGCTCAAGGCTAGCACTTGAGCCACATCTCCACTTTCAGCCTTTTGGAGGTTAATTGGAGATAAAGAGTCTCACAGACTTTCCTACCCAGGGTAACTTAGAACCACAATTCTGAGATCTCAGCCTGAAGAGTAACTAGGATTACAGGTGTGAGCCACCAGTGCCTGGCTCTATTGTTTTTGTTTGTTCATTTTTGTCATATTCTGACATGTCAAATTTATTCCTTAAAATAAATCTTCTCTGGTGCTTGTGACTCACGCCTGTAATCCTAGCTACCCAGGAGGTTAAGATGTGAGGATTGTGGTTTGAAGCTAGGCTGGGCAAGAAAGTCTGTGAGACTCTTATCTCCATTAAATTACCAAACAAAACAGAAATGGAGTTGTGACTCAAGTGGTAGAGTGCTAGCCTTAAGCAAATGAAGCTCAAGGGCTGTGCCCAAGTCCTGAACTCAACACCCCCAACCTCTCTCTCTGTCTCTGGGCTTCTCTTTCTACTGTGGTTTCATTTGTTAAATTAATTGGATCTATAATTTTAAAATAGCTAATTTTTAAATTTTAATTATTTTAAAGTCATTTTAAACATTAACAGGTTCTTCATATTTACCTGTATAGCATAGCTATTTGAACTTAGCATGTTTTACTCATTTTTTTAATTACATTTAAGCCTTTAAAAAATGGTAGCTTTAAAACAGGTTCCAGTGGCTCATGCCTGTAATCTTAGCTACTAAGGAAACTACTAAGGCTCATGTCAGTAATCTTAGCTACTAAGATCTGAGGATCATTGTTCAAAGCAGCCCAGGCAGGAAAGCCTGTAAGATTCTTATTTCCAATTAAGCACCAAAAAGGCAAGAAGTGGAGCTGTGGCTCAAGTGGTAGAGCACTAGCCTCGAATGTAAAAGCTGAGAGACAGCACCCAAGCTCTAAGTTCAGGACCCTGCCCCAGCACAAAAAAAGGGGGTCAGGTAATTTTAGCCTAGGCTCTGGAATCCTAACTACTCAGGAAGATGAGATCTAAGGTTCGAGGCCAGCCTGGGAAGGAAAGTCCCTGAGACTATTTCCACTAACCAATAACAACTGGAAGTAGAGCTGTGGCTCAAGTGGTAGAGTGTCAACCTTGAGTGGAAAAGCTAAGAAACAGTGCCCAGGTCCTGAGTTACTCAAGCCCCATTACTAGCACACACACACACACACAAATTGCCTGCCAGTTTTCTTTTGTTGTGTGAGAAACATGTTATGTTCCTGCTACTAAGGTACACCCTCTGCTGCTGCCTGATGCTTAATTCTAGGAAGCCTTGTGCTGCCCCGTTAAAATGATCTTATCAGACTGGGAAGGTAGCTCAGTGGTAGAGAGCTTGCCTCTCATGCAGGAGGCCCTGGTTCGATCTTAGCATAGAGTATTTCTCCAGGCCTGCAGTACACTAGTCAAAGCACTTCACAGAAGAGACAAAGCATGTAACTGTGCTGCTCGTAAGCAACTCTATCAGAACAGGATTCAGTGAGCTGATCTATGGCCCAAGCAATCTGCCCAGCTGCTCTGAGCTGCTTTACTGTTTCTACATGGCCTCACCAGACTCGCTCTGAACTATCCAGAAAGGTCAGAGCAAAGCCCACTTTCTATTGCTGAAAAGCTCTACCAGTCAGTCTCCTGGGCCTTCACTGGGGCTCTCAGGCTCTGTCCTCTAGTGATCATGGCCTCTTCTGGAGGCCATTTAGTGTGTCATTTAATGTGACATTATAGGCCACTGCCAGGGCCAGGGTCCCACGGACACTGTTCTCCTAAGAAGTTATGCAGCACTTCTGGGAGGGAAACAGTGCCTGCAGGGATCAGTGGAAAGAACAGACACCTTGGGGAGAGGACCCACTGCCTAGTGGCTTAGGAGCACCACTGCAACATGCTAAGCACCCAGTGTTTACCTTCCATGTCACACTTGGGATCAGGAGTCAGGGCTGCACAAAGTTGTCAAAGACCCCACCTCCCCTGCTAAGTACCTACCACTGCCTCATCATAGTGAGCACTGTCACCTGAAGTGGAGGGTAGGCTTAGTAGTGTGAACCACTCTCAGCTTCACCGTCCTCAGCCAGTTGGATGCTTTAAGTTATATTCAATGAAGTGATGAAGAGTTAAACATGATTTTTTTTTTTTTTTGTCAGTTGTGGGGCTTGAACTTTGGGCTTAGGCGCTGTCCCGTGCTCTTCAGCTCAAGGCAAGCACTCTACCACTTAAGCCACAGTGCCACTTCCGGTTTTCTGGTGGTTTATTGGAGATAAGAGTCTCATGGACTTTCCTGCCCCAGCTGGCTTTGAACAACGATCCTCAGATCTCAGCCTCCTGAGTAGCTAGGATTACAGGCGTGAGCCACTGGCGCCCGGCTTAAATATGAATTTCTTGTATCCATGTGTGTTGTGAGAAAAAGTATCTTTTCTATCAAAGTGGATTGCTTACTGAGGCTTGAACTCAGGGCCTTGGCACCGTCCCTTAGCTTTTCTGTGTGAGGCTGATGGTCTATCACTTGAGCAATACTTCTGACTTTTGGGGGTTAATTGGAGATAAGAGTCTCGTGGATTTTTCTGCCCTAGCTAGCTTTAACCCTCATATCTCAGCCTCCTGAATAGCACTCATGCCCAGCTTAGACATAATTTCTTTCTTTTTTTCTTTTTTCCTTTTTTTTTTTGTCAGTTGTGGGGCCTGAACTCTGGGTGTGCTGTCCTTTAGCTCCTCAGCTCAAGGCTAGCACTCTACCACTTGAGCCACAGTGCCACTTCCAGCTTTTTCTGCTTATGTGGTGCTGAAGAATCAAACCCAGGGCCTCATGCATGCAAGGAGGCAAGCACTCTACCACTGAGCCACC